ATTGATGACGAGAAGTTAGTTTTAATGAAATGTATGCGTAGACTTCAAATCTCACACTTTATTTGGGTATTAAGATGCTGGATTTTGTCCTGGATATAAATGTGCGCGGTCGACATCCACTCCTTGTCCATTCACCGTTCTCGCTTCTCCGTCCTCGCTTCTGATGAATCAGCAGCTTACAGCAACCTATACCATATGAAAGTCTTAAATAGGAACGCCGGTTCAACCAAAGTCTTGTCTCTGTTTTTTGAATGTCAATTCAGAATGGATGTCACTGGAAATTTCAAAGTTACCCTTCCGGTTTTCGAGCAATCAGAAAGTCCTCCAATCGAAGAAACCCGACTAATTCCTGCATCATGTGCGCAATTTCCAGGATCCTTTGCTCCAGATTCAAGAAAAGATAAACGAAAAGTACCAAAACGTGGTGGATTCAGTGATCGGATTTATATTTTTTTAACGGATGGATGGGGTGATGTGACGGTTTGGAAAAGTGCTGTATGTAGGTCCCTATAGACCTTTCCTGAACCTACCACTGATTCCCCTTTTCTATAGTTTATAGAATTTGTGGGAACAACATGCCTATGTTACCTGTCCGCCTTTATCAGTATTTCAATTCGAAATTCTGAAACTGCACAAGTTGCGGCATATGTTGGCGTTACCAACATTTTTCTCTTGACACTATTTATATGTGCGCTCGCTCCAGCTTCTGGGGGTCATATGAATCCAATCATCACTTTTGCGACGGTCATCACTGGACTTACCGGATTTCCAAGAGGATTATTGTATTTGATAGGACAGACCACCGGAGCAGCACTTGCGGGAGGATTGATCAGAGGAAGCTTGGGAGAGCAGAGAACTTTGATGTGAGTTGACTTCCATCTTCAAGATTCGAGAGAGACAAGACACCAAGTAGTTATGGACTTTCAAAAGGTCGCCATGGCTAGGAAGCTTTTCTTTGAAAACGTCCGTTCAGTAGTAAGTTGACAGGAGAAAGGTACCATGGAGGAGGATGTTTCCTTGAAACAACAAGCGTCAGCGAAGGACAAGCTTACCTGATCGAGTCGATTTTATCATGTATCATGCTGTAGGTCTCGGAATGCTTTTGTTTTGCTCTGATCTGACGACATAGGATTTTATCGTTTGGCACTGCTCTTGATCCCCGACAGGCGCAACTTTTTGGGCCACGCCTAGGTCCATTCATGGTTGGTTGTACATTAGGCCTTGTGTCATTTTCTAGTATTAATCTTGCACCTGGATACCCGGGAGCGGGATTAAACCCAGCGAGATGCTTTGCATTTGCAGTTGCGAGAGGCAACTTTGCTTGTGAGTGGGACTCCTTCTCCCTAAGCTCAAGTGACTGTTAATAAGATCCTCTAGATCAATGGATTTGGTGGTTCGGCCCAATAACTGGAGCTATAATCCAAAGTTCGGTGTATCATTTTGCTCCACCATATCACAGGGAAAGGGTGGATCGAAAGCATTCAACATGATGTGTAGGGGATCCGAGAAAATCTTCTCTTACACCCTGTGGTCGGCTTTAAATGGTGGACTACCGTCTAGAACAGGAACTTGTATGGAAATTCTATGAAAGATTCGACCAACGGGGTAGATCTCGTGAGATCCAAATCAAAAATCTCATATTTTAGATCAGGAAATTGTGAATTGTATCAGGACAAACTTTAACCTTAAAACCCCAAAACTCCATGCCCGGCTCGGACCTTCCATCAAACAAGAAAAGTGACTTGCATTCGAAATTGATTGCCAAGATCTTCCTCAGGAATCACGAACAGAACGCAGCTGTTAAATCAAGAAACTCGTGACAAGGTAGCAGTGAAAAATGGGTACTTATATAGAATGGTAATACTTGGAAGAACAAGAAATGATTTGAATGAAAAGCCTTTGAGCAGGTCAAAATCTTCCATATTTGGCCAAATAATGAAGACGGTGGTGATGAGACGGTTACACTCAACTTATACCAGAGTTTGAGGAATACAATTCTTAATACTTTGCAGATGTAGGAAAATAGAAGTTGGATTGTAACAACAAGAGGGGGGAAGCAAGATTTAACACATCCCACTCATACCGAAATATACCCGCGCCATGCTCAAATCTACCACCAAATTTATCGGCCAATTAAATATTGGACGATACCAATACGGCGACCATCCGAGAACTAAAATCCAATCAACATCATAGATAAATATCTCCTCAAGTAACAATTCGCCATTGCGCCACATCACCGCGACAATGGCCTCCAAAATAACACCCTTCGTTTTCCGCTCAGCATTCAGACCAGCAAGAATAGCTTCAAGATCACAATGTCGGTCATTTGTTGCCGGTAGCAGATTATCCAGCGATTCGCTCATGGTTGTATGTCTTCCTCATAGAGCTCCGATTATCCCGTCTAGCTACTGACATGAAGTCCCACAGCATCGCGATACACCCGACAATAATGCCTCTATTCCTTTCAAATTCACACCTCAAAACGAGAAGATTATCGAAGAGATTCTCAAGAAATATCCCCCACAATACAAAAAGGCAGCCGTTATGCCGATTCTCGATCTCGGACAACGTCAGCATGGATTTACTAGTTTGAGTGTTATGAACGAAGTTGCTAGATTATTGGAAATGCCTCCTATGAGAGTTTATGAAGTGGCTACCTTTTATACTATGTATAACAGAACTCCAGTGGGCAAATTCCATGTGCAAGCTTGTACTACAGTATGTTTTCTCTGAGTTGGCGGGGGAGTTTCGGGTTCTTGACAAGTACTAATAGATTTTCTGATAAATAGACTCCTTGTCAATTGGGTGGATGTGGAAGCGATGCAATCGTTAAGGCAATTGAAGGGCACCTTGGTATCAAGCCTGGCCACACCACAAAGGACGGATTATTTACCTTTGTCGAAGTCGAATGCCTGGGCGCATGTGTAAATGCACCAATGGTTCAAATCAACGACGACTTTTACGAAGATTTGACACCCGAGTCAACCGTCACATTACTCAAGGCACTCCAATCCAGCGCCGCGGAAATTGCTAATTCGGAAGCTGGAAAGGGTGCAATTACAGGCGAAGATGGCAACGTCAAGTCTGGATCTGAGATTGGAGAGGACGCAGGAAGAATTTATAATAAGGGAGGTGTTAAGGTACCAAGTCCAGGACCAATGAGTGGAAGAAAGACTTGTGAGAATATCAAGGGTTTGACGAATCTGACGAGCGAGCCATGGAGTAAGGAGGTTTTCAAGCCAGAATGGCAATAGGTTTTTGCATTTGAGGCATTTGTGGTGGAGCGTGGGTTGAAAATAGAGGATACAGTTTTCAGATGAGGATTCGTATGTATATATCCTTGTATCATCAAATTTTTTGCAGTAAATGGTTTTCCATGATGGCTAGTGATGAAAGACAAATTTTTATATTTATCCGAGACATTGGGCACACATTTCTTTGCGAAAAGATGATTGATTGCCTTCATCCCTCAATCCAAGAATTTCCATGTTGTGTTTCCAGGCCTTCATCGCTCCCATCACATGCCCCTTGTTCCCTCCGGCAATTCTGCTTTCTCCGATTTTGGGTGATTACTCTTCCTCCTTTTTCCTCCCAGTTGCATATTTCTACATCTAGCATAGTCTTCCTCGCCATATTTTTCCACGAAACTTCCAGTCGTAAACCTAATGATGCTTAATACATCGTCATACAGTGCTACAACACAGAGGTGGGTGCACTGTTAAGTTCAGGATAGCATGAATGAGGAGAGTGATGGGTATATATGAGATGGGAAAGTTTTCGATCGGGGAGTTTGAGAGGGATGTTGATACTATAAATTTGTAGGTTAGGTAGTTGGTATTGTATGTTTTTGGGTGGCAGTACCGAGATTTATCATTCACTCGAGTGATATTGGAGCTTCGTGGCTTGATGCACATCATTGCTAGCCCATATATAGTTCGTGACTAGTCCATACAGTACTTTTCATACTTCATGGGCCGGCAAGAAACAGTTCGTCTCCCAACGTCAGTAAAACAGAGATTGGTAGGAAAGTCAAGGGTAGAACGAAAGCGTCCAGAGTGTTCAAATTGTGCAGAACTCGAGGCGAATAGAGATTTCAGTGAAAATATCAGAATGGGATGAATGCTTTGAAGAGTAGATACCTAGAAGTGAATGGACGACGAAAATGTGGAGGAAAATGTAATGGGAACGTAAAAGTCGAAAAGATGTCATCAGTATGCTTCTATAACAATAATGATAGTAAAATAAAATGAGTACTTAGCAACTGTAACTTCGTCTTGAGGATGAGATCACCGTGAGCATGCTCGATCGATTCAGACAGGGTGTATATTTCGCATTTCAATGAAAGAACACCACAGACGACCAGATGTACATGGTACTTACAAGCTCTTGCACTAATATCAGACACCTTCCATATTGGAACTCACTGGAGTATTGCCTGACACGTCAGTATAATATCGGGTATCAAACTAGCTGATATATCCCATACATATCTTGAAATCCCTCATTGATTACCAACAATTTCAATTCCATAGGATTCCATACCGTCAGTAATTCCACAAATGACATCTAACGGATGGATATCGGATATAGCCAGTGGATAGAGCCACACGGACACTCAGCACTTTTCACACATTGTTGCTCTCTTTCCCGCAGATACGAGCACTTTGTGTAAAAATCCATGAAGTGACGATGAAGAGATTTTAGATCTTAAGAGGCCACAAGCTCGAAAGTATACCACATTAACAATAGGAAACATGCAGTATAAGTCCTTTGAACCAAACAAATGATTCAAAGATCCATCAGAGGTCTTCTAGGAAAGTGATAACCTCGCAGCTCTGTGCTGAACGCTTGCTCTGAACTACAGAAACATGGTGGGACCGAAAACCTCAAAAAAAAAACACTTTCTCAGATATATAAAGATACTTCTTATATATTCGATGATGTTTTATGGCACCTTGCGGGACAAGATCGGACATGAATTCAATACGTCGTCTTTGGGATGTATGAATATAGAGTGAAAGTTCGATGTCGTTGTCAAGGGGTGGATTTATGAAGGTGGGACTATCACATCGGGCCTAGACACCTCGACTGACCAATCAAGCATCCACTCTTCGATATCACCTATCCTTCATCTGCACTTTTTCCACCTACCCCATAAGCTGACAAGTGTTTGGGCAATATAAGAAAGCTGGATTTTCCACTCCTCAAGTTCCTCGTATTCTTGCTCATAAAGTTAAATTCTGCTTTACCCCACTTCCCTCTCTCCATCTTCCTTCTCACGATGAATACCAAGGAATATATTATAGATGTGCTTCAACACCTATACTTCCCTGTTCAGTTCATGTTTGCCTCTGTCACATTTATACCCGGCACTATTGTTTCCCTTCTCGCTTCTTCCAATTTCGCTGCTCTGAGTTCTGTCGACAAGTTCAAAGATGCATGGTTTGCACGATTCTGGGGTGTGTATGGGCCTCGTGTTAGAGAGTCTGCAAGTACAAATGCAGAGCCTATGATTAAAGCTGCTAGAGGTGTTGTACTAGATATTGGTCCTGCTAGTGGTGAGGTATGTTTGCTTGCTTTTTTTATATTGGTGAATGGATGGTCGAAGCAAATATGTCAGTGGCTAATAGATGCTAGTGGTTACATGTTTTTGATAAATCAAAGGTCACAAAGATCTATGGTGTAGAACCAAATCGTGATCATTATGAAGCTTTGAGAAGAAGAATTAAGGAGGCGGGTCTCACTGATGTCTATGAGATCGCCGAGTGTGGAGTTGAGGGGTTGACGGAATGGGGCATTGAAGATGACAGTGTGGATTCTGTCGTTACCATTTTGTGTTTATGTAGTGTTGGACAACCCGAGGAAATGATTAAGGATTTGTATAAGAAGTTGAGAAAGGGAGGTATCTGGGCAGTTTATGAACACGTGATTAAAGATCGGGGACATTGGACTGACAAGTATCAATGTAAGTTCTAATCTATAGGAATGAGCCGAGCAAAACTAATTCATACTCAGCTTTAGTCAATCTTGCTTGGCCTCATTTCTTGGGTGGCTGCTCCCTCAAGAGAGATACGGAGAAGTCTTTGAGGGAAGTTGGAAAATGGAGTAAGGTTGATCTGACGCATCCTGCTACAGAGGCTCCTTATGCTATCGTTCCACATATTATGGGAACACTCGAGAAGTGAGTGCCACGATTCAAAAGTATACTCCACGAGGTAGCTCCTGTGGGAATTGTGATTCATGGACGTCCTTCCCAGGAGATTGAAACGAGGGACGCATGCTATCTCATAAGGGAGATTGTGGCGATTGAGAAGAATGTGGAATCACTGCGTAGTTGTTCAAGCGAGGTCGCAAAGTTTTTATGGAGAGAAGAAGAATTGGTCTTCAATTGTCATTTCATTGGATATCTGAGCTCTTTCGAGAGCTCCTATTTATTGTTTCAAAACCCGTCTTCAACGCAGTCGAACAGTTGACATTCCATGGATATATTGAGAATGACTACAGCTTTCACAATCATCAGTACTAAAATGGTTCATCCTGCTGCTATCCGGTTAGTTTCAGGCACCAAACACAAGATTGAGGATTTTGAAGTTCTTAGCTAAACTTTGATGTCGAAATCCTGAATATTTCGTTTGCACATTCGAAATAATGTTTTGAGGCCATTTTTGAGTGACATAAAAGGAAGTTTTTGAACAAGTTGAAACGATACACTCTCCAGTTCCCGAGAAGAGAAACAGAAATATGACTTTATAGGAAAAGAATAAGACAAAAATATCAAATCCGTTTGTACTATACCTTTGAACCGACACTGTTTGGAGATTCTTGAATGGAGGTTAAAAATAAGTCAAGCCTGAGGCATATACAAATTTGCGCGAACTTCGAGCTCTCATCACAAAACCTCTTCATTATTTATTTATAATCTTTTGGCAAAATTGAATCTACATTTCCTCATAAACTTACGACCATCATACTCAATGCCTCTGCTTTTAATTATCCATCGAACATTACACCCATACCATAGACCCTGATGGCTGATCAAAATGGCTCTGCTTCTACAGCAGATGCCCCACCTCAAAATCCATATTCAATGCCTATGAGCATTAATGTTGCAGACATTGTAGAGGAAGAGGAAGATGAAGATGAGTATGAATATGAATATTCTACTACTGAAAAAGAGGCAATTACTTTTAGGAGCTCCTATTCATTATCAATTCTAACACGCACAATAGATATTCTATGTAACTCTCGATTTAACAAATCCCAATGTTCCCATTAAAAGAAAGTTGGTGAAAACGCATCCTCGTCGCAATGCTAAGAAATGGTTGAATCCTGGTCTTGGTAAACATCGAAGACATCTTGGAGACTCGACTACTATCGTAACTGATAAGGACAAATCCGTAAAAGCGAAAGGCAAAGGAAAAGGAAGAGGGAAGAAATCACCCACTGGCGAGGACGATGAGGATGATGATGAAATGGCAGAACGTGAAGAAGAAGAGCTTTCAGAAGCTGAGGCAGCACCACCTGAACAAGTACCGACAGAACAGAAACCCGTCGGAGCTCCCAGGAAATCAACTGGAGAACAATACTCGAGCTTCATCGCAGATACGCAACGTGGAGGAGAAGCTCCAGCGGCGCCCAAACCAGAAGTACAAATATTAGGGTTGCATGAAGATCATCCAGTCGTGTCTTATGAGGGGAATATATATCACTGTCGATGGGAAGAAAATATGGGCACAGAGTTACTTTTTACAGCCCACGATCCTGAAAGTAAATTACCTATATTACAATCCGTATCCAACGATGTCGATTTACTAGCTGCAAGTTCAGCGCGCATAACTTCCGTCAATACCAAAGTCGAAGACAAAGATCCGGATTCTGGTGGGAAAGGTCGCAGTTACTTTTGGAGATCGGGTAACATTCGTGAGCTCAAGATACCAGTTGGTGTAGCAGCTTCTGAACAGCGGAAAAATCAAGCCTTCTTTCTGCAATCCCTGATTCAAATCAAAGAATCGAAGCGAGAAAGAGATCATGTTACAGTAATGGCTCAAAGGAGAAATACCAACCGACAATGGAGAGCAGTCATGAAACAGAAGCAAGCGGCGGAAGTAGCACGAATTCGAAAAGCTATAGCGACAGGGAAAATGAGGAAAGCGGATGGACAGCAAAGATTAGATCAGATGGCTAAGGATGCGGAGATTTTGGCCGCGGAAGATAAACTAAGAGGTATTGGGCCTGATGGGAGAAAGATCCGACATGGTGGTAGGAAGAAGACTGTAAATGCGGAAAATCAACCAATTCTTCGGAGACCTCCTGGTGGACTTACGAACTATCTGATGAACAATGCTGCTGCAGAGGATGACGATGATGAAGAAGTGGATATGGGTCTTGATAGGCCCCCTCCTAAGACTAGAAATTCACGGTCATATGCCAATGCAGAAGATGAAGATTTGGAAGCGGAGGATGATGGAGAGATGGAGTATGGAGAAGAATATGAACATGGGGGAGATGGCGAAATGGTTCTCGAAGATGAAGCTGGGTTTGAGGAAGATTATGAAATGGAATAGTTGAGGAGGTCAGGTGTAATTTGGGAGTATATCAATATTAATCACCTGAATTTGAACAACCAACTGGTTTTAACTTCCTTCCCAATGCACCTGTCCGAACAGTTTTCCTCCTTTCTCCTACCTTGCACTCAGTGGTGTCAATACCAGCTATCTTTAATCTTTGAAACTTCTTCCACCAAACTGTCCTAGTTCCCTATGAGCCTTGCAATTGTAACCTCCTGAGCTACGCACTCCTCTCAACTCGGCAAGTTGACGGAGGCCTGTATGATGAGCGGGAAGATGTTTTGCGTGCGTTAGGTGTTCGATTGGGATGTACTAGGTAGGTATGAAGGGGAGACAGAGGGTAGATAAAAGGGCGAGGACGGAGGAGGAGGGAAGAATGCGTACGTTTCGGTACATAGACAAGTAAGTTAGCGAGCGAGGATGAGTTAAGTTACAGATAAGATGGTACTGAGGGTGGGAGATATGGATTTGGCTTGGGGGGAGAAGTTTCGTATTCATCTAATGGATGGGATGACTTTCCTGTATACCAGTAGTTCATCATTTATGGAATGAGCGTCGTGTTGGGAGGAGAACGTTGAAGTGCGGAATCAGTACTAGTGATGGTTCTGATATAAATTAAAGCTGGTCTGATCGATCTTTATAGGCTCAATGTTCAACCGAAGACATCTAGATATTGATATATCAAAATTGTGAGAATCGAGAAGAACCCCGTGATCGTTCAACTAATGCTATTCAAGTGGTTGTCAAGTTGAATACCTACCTAGTATCTCGAGAATGTGTATTATCCGTGGGGGTGAATTGAGTTGGTTGCCCACTAATTACCCCACCAAAATAGCTAGGTATTTCGAGAGCCATTCACTGAAATCACATTAACATCGACAATTCGATAGCTAAGAAACTCTCCGCTATCGGACAGGAGATATATAAGACGAATAGCAGGGCGTGTTTAAGTGGGGATTATACATGGCTACCTACAAATACATCAATTGATACCTATTGTACTCAGAGAAATACGAAATGTTACACTGTAAATCAGTCTTGAAGTAATATTACAAGATATCGAGATGGCTTCAAACATATCTAACGGAGAGACTATCAATGTCCTATTCTATGGTTTTGGAGCGTAAGTCGTTCTATAACATCATACAAAAACTTGGCATCTGAGCTAATGCGGGTTCTCAGGATTGGCTCCGTTTATGCATTCATTCTAAGTCGAGTATCAAATGTACGATTGACTGTTGTAGCGAGATCGAATTACCAGGCTGTAAAGCAAAATGTATGTTTAACTCCATGTCACGAGTAGCTCATTAAAGCTAACATGTTTGATAGGGATTGAAGCTAATCAGTCAGAATCATGGAGAAAATACGTTTCACCCAGCCAACAGTAAGCTCTCATCCTGCAAATATATGTTCGTCACTAACATTCTGTAGTCATCGAAACACCTGACGAAGCACCAGGTCAATATGATTACATAGTTTGCTCTAACAAAGCTATTGGTCAAGAAGCTGTAGCTAAATCCCTTGCACCGGTAATGTCCGAATCAACAACTATAGTGCTTATCCAAAATGGTGTTGGGAACGAAGACCCATTCCGAGCAATTTATCCTCAAAATACCATCATCTCCTGTGTTGCGTGGACTGGCGCCATTCAAAACACACTCGGCATCGTTCATCACACAAAAAACGAAAATCTGCAAATAGGCCTCTTCACAAATCCGAACATATCAACTGAGATTGAGAACAAACGGTTAGAGATATTTTCAAATCTTTTGTCAGTTGGAAAAACACCACATGAAGTCTTCTCTCCTTCTAGATTACAGACTGCACGTTGGGAAAAAGTTATCTGGAATTGTGCCTGGAATTGTCTAACTACACTTACACGTCTCCATACACATGAGTGGCTCAATTCTTCTCCAGAAGCTATGAACATGACGCGAACGCTTATGGGGGAAGTAGTTGCTGTTGCAAGAAAGATGGGAGCGGATATTAAAGATGATTTGATTGATAGATTGATAGAGAGGATACTTAGGATGCCAAGTACTAGTACGAGTATGTTGACTGATGCGTTGTGTGGGAGACAGTTGGAGTTAGATGTTATACTGGGAGTGCCGGTTAAGAGGGGTAGGGAGTTGGGAGTGGATATGAGGGTTTGTGAAACGGTTTATACTTTGCTTCAGGGAGTGGATTTGGGATTGAGACAAGGAGGACCGAAGAGTACTTGAGGGGGAGGATGCGATGGAATTGGGAGGCGGACGCTTTGTAAGGTGGCTTATAGAATTAGATGGAAGAGTTCGAGGGTTTTCATTATTTGTGGTCTCGATCGGATTCTAGAACACGTGCATTTGTCTAACCTTATCTATTCGGCTTTAACATTAACAACTTGGGAAGACATGACTCAGTACCGACAGAACTTCTAACAAAAAATGAATTTCTTGACAAAATTTGCCTTCAAAGTACAATCCAATATATACTCTATCATACTCGTAGGTACTCATGTAAAATTTCATAAAACAAATCAATGTTTACACCTGCCTAATCCGGATAGCTAGATGTGAGATACATCCGACATGCGTATTCAGGGATCACCGGAAGCAGTGGGGGTTTTCCGGCTGGGCCGACCTTTCAACATCACAACATCATAACATCCAATAGTATCGATTCATGTATAGGCATCAATATATTGTACTTTCTGAATTAATCGTAGTGTGCTATTGAATTGTGTTGGTGAACTATTGGGTATTTAGATTCAATAATTCAGGCAGAAACTTTTACTACTTCCTCAAATATCCTCAGATTATTGCCGCCCTTGATATTTCACTCGTCTTCCTCAAAACATATAATCCTAAATACTCTTCCAACTCTTGCCCCTTTACCATAGCCGACACAGTCTTTGCACTTTCAAGCCCCCTCCATCCAACTACAGCACTAAAATGTCCCTCCAAACCTTCCACCTCTTTTCCGCCCTTCCAAAAGAACTTCGCGATCTAATCTGGCTTCATGCTCTTCCTCCCCCTCGTATAGTAGGAGTTGAGGAAACTTTTGAAACACTTTCCCAATTTGAGAAGAGAACTTTTGGAAAAGAAATCGATGATGGGGATGTTCATCCCGATTTGGAGTATTTTGGAATCGATATGATGGCACCGATGATACAGGAATTTGTGTTGGATAATGGGTTTGATGTTGAGATTGGAGATGTGGAGTTTGGGAGAGAAGCAGAAGCTCAAAGTTGGAAGGAGAAGGGAAAAGAGAAAAGAGAGTTCGTACCGTTATATCTGAAATCAACGGACCCTCATTACCGACAAGGAATCACTCCCTCCCGACTTTCTGAACCTCTTCTCTACTCCTACTACCAAGCCACCCGCCGCGGATTTCTCTATTCCCATTCCCCTATCCCCTGTCTCCTAAAAACATGTCGTGATTCTCGCTCCTGCATGCAACGTCTCGGCTACACCCTCACATTTTCCACTCGCACCTCCCCTCCTCGCATCTGGTTCAACTACACGCAAGACATCCTCTTTCTCCGCGCTCTCGATTCCGACATCAACGAAGGAACGATGTCGGAGCTGGTCGACGGCACCGGAACCAACATCGGACAATTCCGTCCTGCCGAATTCACACAGGTGAGACGGCTCGCGCTCGATTTCTCAAAGTGGATAAGTTGGGACGAACACTGGCAGTATGAGATCTTGCGAGTGGTGAAACTATTTCGGAATTTGGATGAGTTGTTCTTGGTACTGAATTGCGATTGGTGGTTCCAGGATATTCGTGGGGGGTTTGTTACGGGATTGCCTAAACATCCTACTTTTGCATCTGCGTCTTCTTCGCCTACTCATCCGTATTTTTCTCCTGATTCTGCGTCCTCGCGTCCTTTTCCTATTGCAGAGCATTGGAAATCAGGAGGTGGAATAGATTGGAGTCATGGTGGTGGAACCACGTTGAAAACTCCTGCGAATTCGTCTTTTCCGTGGGGATTTAGAAAGATAGAAAATGAAGGGGATTTTTGGAGAAATTATGTGACCCCTACGCCTGGAACTTTTGCGCTGACGAATGATGGGAATTATCGATTTAAGATTCGGGAGTTTGAGAGGAGGGGGGAGGGGAATGGGAATGCGAGGGGAGAGAGGAAGGATTTTTTCCGGGAGTGGAAGAAAGAGGTAGAGGAGAGTTTGAGGGAGAAGTGGGAGGAGGATGGAGAGAAAGGTGGTGGGGAGTGGAGAGTTCCTAAGATAAGGTTGGTTCTTTTGAGACAGGAGGAGGGTTTGGATAATATCTGATCTAATCTGAAGTTTTCATCTGGTGTCCAAAATCCATATGAAATATACACTCGGATTCTCGTCTAAGAAGCAGTTTTAAATACACCTTGTAGAGACGGGATGTAAAAAAAAACATGTCATTACGCGCTTTTTGTCTTTTGTCTTTCGCATTCTCACATATATCTACCACTGCAATATCACCAGGCTTTTGATTAATTATTCATCTCAGACATCGATTACAATTTACTCCCACTCCCAAAGAACAATAAACATGTGACGCAAAACCCCAAGACAATCCCGCAAATCCACGCCCAAACCACGAAGAGCAACACCAGGAGAAAGAAAAAGCGAGGAAAGAAGCTGAGGAAAAGAGACTACAATCTGCGGTCTTAGAGACTGTTTTGCTAGCTGGTTCGGATGGAATCAGTAATCAAAGCATGAGAGACGATAGTGCGGAGATGGATTCGGGTGGTACTTTAGAAGTAGCTAGCTCCGCTGGCAGAGCTAGTAATATGTCATTTCTTCATAACTTGGTATCGAGGCCAAAATTTAAGATACTCCCCTTGCCCCCCCCCCTTTTTTTTTACTATCCGAATAATCATTTCTCCATGTTCCATCCTTCTACCGCATGGGATATTCCTCAAACACCGAATATCAAACAAAATATCTTCGGGAAATAAACAGCTAAATATCTACCTCACAATCAACAGCTCTAGCTCTAACTCCCGTCCCCGTCCCCGTCCCCGCTCCTGTCCCAGATCCGCAGCACTCAGCTCGAAAACTACACCTTGCGCTTCGGCGTCGCGCAGTCGATGCTCGAAGGAAAGAGGCACGGCGTGAAAGGAGACGGAAGGAGTGTGAGGATGTTGGTAGGGAATTGGGGGGTTTGAGGGATTTGCAGATTGAGGATGTTGAAGATGAGGAAGATGGAGATGTAGAAAAAGGTAGAAAAGATAAGATATTCGAAAATAGACTTGTAGGCGGGGGTTGAAGAGATGAAGGGGGTAAAGATAGAGATGATAGCGGTAGTGGAAATGAAGGTGGTATTGGAGGTGCTACACTTGGTGGAGGGTTTGGGGGACCAGACTATGATGGTTTAAAGATTCAAATCTCGTGTGAGAATGATGTGTCGATATATAGAAATAAGATTTTTATGCACTTTGTATTTATAATGATCATTTCCTATCCGCTCTCCCGCATATTTTCCTTTCTATCCTCAACTTCCTCTTCACAATCACTTCATCATCTCTTGTTGGCCTGCTCGCGTACGGACTCGCTGATCACATCTCAGAGTATCAGATACGTGAATAAGAGTTATGTGTATATATACTTTGACTAACAAACCATTCCCCATCATCATAATCAACATAACTGAATGACACTCGTCATTCCCACTCACTCAATCAATCACGCCCATGTATTTAAACACAAACTTAAACAAAAAGAAAAAGAAAAAGAAAAAGAAAAAGAAAAAGAAAAAGAAAAAGAAAAAGAAAAAGAAACCGGGAACAAAAATGAGAACAGGACACCAAAACCCAAAACCCAAAATTAACATCAACATCCGATTCCAATTCTGATTCCAATCTCCCAATCCCCCACCAATATGAGCCACCTAATCTACTCCAATAGAAGAAACAACACCTATACATAGCTGACCTACCTACCGATCTACTGCCCACTAAAATATCCCACCCGCAAGAGACCTTCTTCAGATAACCCAAACCAGCCCTCAGCATACCCCATCAGGAGTCCAACCCAGCTCAAACTCCTTCAACCTCCTCTCTCTCTTTAACCCCACCTCTATATCCCTCTATCACCATCGCCATCGCCATCGCCATCGCCATTTCTATCCCACCCCCCTCTCCATCATCCCCCACCCCCTACAACTCCGCACAAAATCTAAACAGAAACACACATGGTCAATCTACCTACCTACTTATCGCATCAATATCACGCACAAAAAACTCTATTCACATCTACACGTATTCAAACCTTTACACACCTCATCAAAAGCCTCCGAGATTCTTCAATCCCTCCCTTTCAAACCCCCTCTCTCTAACCCCACCTCTATGTCTCTCCATCTGCATCTTCCCATCTTTGCACACCCCTCCCCTTAACCACAACTCTACACACATATAATTTAACTCTTTTCTTCTCTCTCACCCTCACCCTTCCTCTTTCCCTCTTTTTTCTTCCTTTCTTATCTAACTCTAACTATCTCATAACGCATCCTTCTATCATACATCCTTTCATCATACTCACTCTCATTCATCTAACACATAACATTACATCTTCCTTCTATCCTCTTCCCCTTCACTTCTATAATTCATACATCCCGCCAAATCCACTCACTCTCTCACTATTCTTTCAATCCCTCTCTCACACTTACTATCCTCTCAACTCCTCTTAAATCCCTACATCCCGCTAACTCCCACTCCCTTACTATCCTCTCAACTCTCCTCCAACCTGACTCTCACTCCCTTACTATCCTCTCAACTCCCCTCCCCTCCAATCTCTCAGCTACAACTCCAACTCCAACCCCTCCCAACCCCTCCTCTCACTTCAATCTCTCCACCTCCTCCCCACCTTATAGAAATCCAACGTCTTCTTACTAGATTTATCAGATAATTGGACTTTTGTACTTTATGATGTGATTATTGGATACATAAATAAATAGCTAAAGTATGACACCCGACTCGAGATAGTATACTGAGTATATCGAGAGCTTTCTAGTCATAATGTATACTTATCTAGGTAGTTAATGAACCATCTCACAAGTACATTTCATTCGATATTTGATGTAGTAGAGAAAAGAAAGGGGGAAGTGGAAAATAAGATTACATGCACATGAAGGGTCTGAACTTCATACCTTACCTACCTAGATACTACTAGATAGGTAGATATTCACCACCCCGAATCAACGCGAGCACGAATCCACAAACCCAACAATCAGCGCAAAGACCTCCAGTTATTCAGAATAAGTTTAGATTTCATGTTTCTTAATATAGTACCCATCCTTTTATCCAACAATTAGACACTCTCAATGTATCTTCTAACCTCCCAATCCGTTACTGCCTCATCCCACAATCTAATTTCATGTTCCCTCGTACCACCGTAATGCTCCACAAATTCGTCTCCGAATACCTCTCTCGCTATACTATCCTTCGCCATAAATTTCTCCGTCGCTTCTTTCAAATTCTTCGCTAATCTAACCCCTGGGTCTGCTTTCCCTCCTACATCTTGGCCTTTTCCTAATGGTGGTTGTTGGATTTCTAATTTCTTTTCTACTCCTCTCCACCCTAATGCTAGAATAGCTGCTAATACATAAAATGGATTTGTATCTGCACCTGGCACTCTGATTTCGAAACGTGTAGCCCCGGGTTTAGATGTTGGAGGTGCGATCAGACGGACAGACGCTGCACGATGTTCAAGGCCCCAAGATACTGTTACTGGAGCCCAGAAATTTTCGACTAGACGTTTGTAAGAGTTGACTGTTGGTGCCAGGAGTGGCATGACATATGGAAGTCCTTCCAATACTCCAGCAAGGAAATGACGGCCCATATCCGAAAGATTCTCAATATCCTTCCATTTTGCTTCTGTGTCTTTAGTTTCTCGGAAGAAGAGATTCTTGCCATCTTTATCAACGATCGAAACATGCATGTGTCCACTATTTCCGGGTAGCCCTTGACGTGGCTTGGCCATAAAGCATGGGGTTATGCCGTATTTTGTTGCTACTGATTTAACAACATATCTGATATTATTAGCCTCTCGACCTTAAAAATGGTAGGGAAAGCTCCAAACATACTTGAACAAGCTTGCTTTATCTGCCATTTGTTGAATCTCCCCAAATGCCAAAGCTGCCTCGAAAACACCAGGTCCACTCTCTGTATGCCATCCTTCTATTCCGCAATTGAATTGTTCGCATGCATCATATATCCCATAATAATAATCTTGGTTATGAACTGGTCTAGTTAAACTGTATCCGAACATTCCTTCGGTTAACGAGGGTAATGAATCGACTGGGTTTTCTCGTAAGAAGGTTGCTGTTGAAGATGTGTTTCGTTCGGAAATTGGTGCATGAGGATTACTCGCTGGCGCTTTGAATTGGAAGAACTCGTATTCAGCTGAATATTATTAGTTATAACCTCTATGAAAGTTCAAAGATGCTCATACCTCCAGCCATGGCACCCAGTCCATTGGCTTGTAGCTTCTCTACTGCAGTCTTCAACAATCCTCTCGGGCATGCAGATACGGGCTTTCCAGAATCCGGATCATAAAAGCTGATCAAAAAGAATGGCACATTATCTTCCCAAGGTATCCTTCTAAAACTACTCAAATCCGGAATCGCAATAATGTCATGATAGCCATTTTCCGCATTACTGATTTTCAATTCCTTGAAGTATGTTTGATCATGCATATCCCAACCGAAAATGACTGAGCAGAATCCAAATCCTTCCTTCGCGATACCCAGAAACTTCTTCTTGGAGACAAGCTTCCCGCGCAATATACCATCGACATCAATACCAGCCAATTTTACTTTTGTATCATTTTCGAGAAGTGCGATGAGATTCTCAGCGGTCTTTTCATCCCACTGCTTGTGTGAAGCTATCCATTCTGGTGTATCTGGCATCTTTTCGTTGAATTGTGAGGGAATCGTAGGAGTGAATTGTACTTGTTAAATTCGGGGTCTTTGGGAACGATTGGCAGATCGAGTTGAAGGGATATCTGGGATCTGGCTTGTTGAATGTGGAGGGAGGTATACGGAGTAGATTGTTGTACACCTCAAGAGGGGGAAAAGGAGTGGTGAGAGTAAAGCAAGGAAGTTGCCCTACAATTTGCGATAAGAGATTCTGCGATAAAGCGAGGGGCTACTGTGGGTGCTGCTTTAATGCCGCTATCCCTCACACGACCATCACTTGGCGGATTGGCAGGGGTCGGTGAATATTCGGAGGGGAGCTATCGGTTAAAATAGCAGCAGATCTTACCGAAAATGATTGATATGCAGCCATCTACCGAACAACTGCGCCGTGCATCAATACCCAGTAAGTTATTCCACGAAATCATTCATCATATGTAACGAGAATAGCCCTGGAGATAACTACATGTATTGATCCTTTCCGAAGTGATTACACGAAGGTTCGTGTAAAAGACCTATTGTGATGACTTTATTAGTCAACCACAACGACAGCAATAACGACAGCAATAACGACAGCAATAACGACAGCAATAACGACAGCAATACGACGGCAACAACTACTCTGTACAGCATTGATTGTCTCCTCACAACTCCAGATATTACCAATGACAAATATCATCATCTGACTATCATCCATCATCTATCACCTATCAAGGAATAGAGAGTCTCACTCCGCTGTACCCTGCGACAGGACGGTGGCACATCATCTAGACACAGACTCAGTCTTATTATACTCAGACTCTCGACTGTCAAAGGCTATTATACCAAATGGACCAATACCTATACGAGTACGTCAAAGCAACCCATATATAGACAATGAGATGAAGTATGAGACATGAAACCTGGCTCGAAAAAGCTATGTTTTATCAATTAAACCAATACCCAATACCCAATACCCAGCAGCCAATAACCCATATCTACGAGTGAAATCATCTGGGATCTTCTATCTTCCCCGATTCAGTCATCAAACCCCGGGTTTCCTTGAGTTTGGAGAATATCTAGGTAGGTAGGTAGTCAGGTATCAATCTCATTCTCTTTTCCCTGTCAGTTCAATCTCTTTATCAAAATAAGCCGCGGTGAGTTTCATTTGCCATTGAATAAACTGAATCGTGTTTCGGGAATGGATGTTCTTCGGAACGATAACGATTTCTCTACCTACGACTGTGGCCTCCACTGCCCACCACTGCCCACCCACCAACTGCCCACCGAGAACGGACCAAGTGTATGAGCTTCTGTGTGTGTGCTCCGTACTTTATACCAGTGACACATCAGCATCCACATTCTCTCTCTTAAATTCAATTGTCATCACAAATATTATTTCATAACAACTCTTCTGATCAATTCGAGTCACTTCTACAAAAAGGGGGAATAGTTTTCAACACCTTTATCACACCTTCTGCACATTCTTCTCTTTCCCCATTATCAAAGAAATCTATATCAGGAACAAAGAGTAAGTTTACCAGGTTTCCATTTTCCTGGTAAGAGAGACAAGCAGCGTCTGTTGGTCACAAGAACGTTATAGACACAGCACCTTCTTCAATTAGAGAGTTCATCAATCGCTGACAAGATCTTCAATAGAACACAGTATTCAAATCAGAAATACATTCAACATGGTTGGCAGCGGAGAAGTTCCTACCATCAACAGCTTCCAAATGGGAAGACTGCATGGTAAAAATGCTATCGTTACTGGTGCTGCTGGGTAAGTCATGTCTTTATTATTCTCCCAATGTAAAAATTTCGGTGTGATTCGGGATTTACGGGACGTGGAAGCTCAGCACGATGAGTATCGTATCAGCTTTCTCTTCTTTGTTCTGAGTTATGCCCTTATCAAATCCTTCTAAGTAATGAGAGTGTCTGGCGTGGCCACACACGTGACTCTCTTCATTTTCGTAATGAGTTGAGCGACGACATTATCTGAGCGGGCCGTCAGAGCGTTACATGGGGAATCCCGTGAAATTATCCATATCAAAGATCAAATCAATCATCAACATATACTAACACCCTCCCAAGAGGAATCGGTCTCGAAACCTGTATCCTCTTCGCCAAAGAAGGCGCCAATATCCTCATGGCCGATATTTCCGCACCAGCACTCGAAAAGGCCGCCGCAAAACTCAGACAACTAGTTCCATCCGCCCACAAAGTTGAAGTTAAAGTATGCGACGTCTCCAAAGAATCTGATATCGAAGCCGCAGTTGCTCATCTCGAATCTTGGGGTGGTATTGATATCATGTTCAACAATGCTGGAATTATGCATGCTGATGATGCCGATGCTATTGATACTCCTGAGAAGATCTGGGATTTGACTCAAGCTATTAACGTTAAGGGTGTTTGGTTTGGTTGCAAACATGCTGTCATTTCCATGCGTAAGAACAAGAAGACCCGTGGTTCTATCATCAACACTGCATCTGTTGTTGCGCTCGTTGGTTCTGCTACTCCTCAATTAGCTTACACAGCTTCCAAGGGAGCTGTTTTGGCTATGACTAGAGAGTTGGCTATTGTTCACGCAAGAGAGGGATTCAGATTCAATGCGCTATGCCCAGCTCCATTGAACACTCCCCTTCTTCAAGATTGGTTGGGAGATGATCAACCTAAGAGACTTAGACGTGAGATTCATTTCCCAAGTGGAAGATTCGGAGAGGCTATTGAGCAAGCTCAAGCAGTTTTGTTTTTGGCTAGTGACGAGAGTAGCTTTGTTAACGGACAGGTATGTTTTTTGTTGTTATTTTTTTGGTTCCCTCCATGCCTTTTCCCCTGATATTCTTCGAACATCGAAAACGCGCATATCTAACATTAACCACAGGATTTCGTTGTCGACGGCGGTATGACCAAAGCCTACGTTACTCCAGAAGGACCACCTCTCGCCGCTCCATCCAACAACGCTCTTCTCAGCGAACAAGTTGATGCTATCCGTGGTACCGGTGTTCCTCAATAGATTGTTCATTTCCTTGAATCATCAGCTCTTTTGCTTGGATTTTAGCGTACAGGTTGTAGATCAGGCTGGATCATTTTAGATAGATATCACGTTAGAATGAATGAAGAAAGATGAATTTCAAAGTCATGCGGTTTTTAAAGTTGAAAGTATGATTAGTAATATCAGTGAAATGATTAGACTTGAGGCTGGTATTCGGCATATCGAATGGGATTATGAGTTTTGGAATGCATCGAGGTAGAAGGGGAAGGGGAAGGGGTGCAGAAGAGGAGGGTGGTGGATGATGCTGCTAACTTGACTCGGGTTCATTGGAGCCCTTTTCATATGCGAGGATGCTAGGTGGAAAGATAGTCGATAATATCTAGGTTGGCATAGTGTGTTGATATATGTATATCTCTCTCTCTCAGACCAAGTTTGATATATACATTATCAAAATCAAGAATACAATCTTCCTCAGATTCCCACAAGAGTTTAATAGTCTATATTTTCAATATCAATCTATTTCTAGGATGTTCTTTGGGAAAAGTTGGGATGGATGGATGGATGGATATACTAGGTATACTTATCTCAACTACTTTGGATTATGTGCTGGGTTGTGCTATGTCTTTGGTGGGTTTAGTTGGTGTGTAAGAGAGTTGTTTGGACTCTTGTGTTGGGATGTATGTATTATTGGGGTTAGGGATATTTGGGGAGTTTTTTTTTTAGGGAGGAGGGTTGGTGTTTTGTGTGTTGGGTGTTGAACTGTTGATCTTGGAGGTAATTAGGTAGATAAGGAGATACTATAGTCTGTAGTTTGTAGTCTGTAGTCTGGAGAGTAAAGTAGAGCGGGGTATAATATAAGTTGGATTGTTTTTTATGGGGGGAGGGCTGGAAGCGGAGATGGTAGATGAGTATTGGGGGCTTTAGTGGATGGATATTAGGGGCTTTGTATATTGTTTGAGGAGTCTCTGGATTGTGGGATGTTGTGTGTGATGGTGAAGTGTATTTATTAACTTTTAATATAGAAATTCATATAATATATAGAACAGAGGTATATCTTTTCTATTGAATATCACTAGAAAGATATGGGAGTACTTATTAACATACTACAGTCGATATCAAATAATTTTTTTGGAAGAATAGATATGAATTTCTAATCCACTCTAGGGATAAAGTGAGTATTCCAAATCAAACTTCTAAGTCGACCACCCTACTTTCGGACCACCCCTGTTTTAAGCCACCCTTTTATACTAAAAATCGCTTTTTTAGCCTATTAATATTTTTATCAATATATAATCCAATTTAATAAAAATCTGAATATATATAATTTAAGTCATTTTAAGCTTATTTTGAAATTTTGAAATTTTTAGGAATTTTCTATATTGAAATTCAAAGCTTTGAAATATCGATTTTTTAATTTGTATAAGAGTTACATATAAATTTAAAACTTTTATAAAATCTTTAATAACTTTTTAATAATAATTATTAAAAGAAAACTATATATCTTTTGAACTTAAATCTATATAGAAATTAAAAAAAAATTAATAAAAATTAATAAATATAAAGATATATAGTATATAGTAAGTTTAGAATAGTATAAATAATCCCTATAATTTTGAGGGTATTCTTTTAAATATTTATTTATAGGAAATTTTCTTTTTTTTCTGAATTCTTCAAAATAAATACATTATAAATTTACAATAAAATTTTATAATTTATTTTTAATAATTTTTATTAAAAAATTATTAAAGATTTCATAAAAGTTTTAAATTTATATGTATCACGGTGTAAGGGATAGGTACTAGGTAAGATGTATAATATTCTATAAAGAATGAAGAAGAAGATAGAGAAGTATTAACTATATTGAAAATGAATATCTTAAGTATTTATATAACTATGTATTGAATTTGTAATAGTACTCCCCCTCAAGGGCTTGTTTATCCTAAATAAACTAAATCTATTGTATAGCTTATTATTATATATAAATTAAATAAATAATCGAATTTGTTGAATTAATAGTTTAAATATTTTATATTGATTTGACTTTTTTTTTGTAGATTGATCTTCAAGTTTCCTATACTTTCTCTAAACATTTTAATATAGGTAATAAGATTATCTTAACTTTAGGATTATTTAATACCTATTTTAATAGACTAGGCTTTTTAGGATATATATAATAATACTCTGTCAACAGTTTTTCATTTCCTTTTAAGTTTATTATTAATTATTAAATAAGAGTATAATACTTTCATTTAATTAAATAATAATGGCTATTTTCATTATAATTATTTATAACTTCTTTAAAGATTCATTTCTATACTGACTTACTCTTACTATTCTTTCTTTCAAGAATCCTATCTTTAATAATAATTAACTCTAATTTATTAATTATAGTTTATATTAGAAAATATATTCTATTAATTATAAGAATAAATAATAAATAATGAAAAATAAGAAATATTCGAATATTGTTTGACGATTGAATAAGATAGGAATAAGGATAAACCTTTATAATCTTATATGGTCTTATTTATTAATCATTTAATTTCTTTGCTTTTCAAAAGGTTTTCATATTCTTAATATTTATAAATACCTTTTAACCTATATAATAATATAATGAGTTAATACGATGTCGATTTGCGTTTTCTTTATATATTATAATTACTTGTTTAGCAAAAGCTTATAGTTGTAATAGAATTCTTTTTATTTTATTCATCATTTTATTACCCTTAAAAAACTTCTATTTCTATACTATAATTATATTTAACAGGTAAGGTTTGTTAGGCTTTATATTAATATATAAATTAAACCTATAATTAATAAAGAATAATAAGCAGCCAATAGTTTCCGAAATTATATTATTTGATGTGAATTCAATAAGAAGTAATTATTATATTTAATTGTCCTAATGAAAATTTATAAAGGCTTATAAATATTACTCAAAAACAGAATTTATTCGTTCTATTTGTTTATTTGTTTATAAATAAAATACTGAAAAGTATTAAAGAGTTATAATTAATTGTTTAGCTAATTGAAACCAGAAATTGAATACGAATTATATATCATAATCGGAAATGATATTATCTAATAGACCATATAAGGTATAGATATAATTGATAAAGATATTAACAAGCTTTTTTGTTATAAGCGTTCTAATCTTTATAAAATGTCTTATTTTAATTGATCAACAAACAATAATTAGAATATACTTGTATATAGAATTGTAATATATATAATCTAAAAGCAATATAATATAATCTATTGATATATTAGACTAGGCTTAAAAGGAGACTGGTAATAGGCATAGGAATCCGGGTGGAGTCGACCTTGATGACTTTATATACATATAAAGGTCGCATGCTTATATATATAAAATAATTTCCTAATATATTTGTAATTATCAATATATACGAAAGATAAGGTTGATTATCTTAATCCAACCTAAATACTCAGCTGGGTTAAATAAGTACATCTTATAAATAATTTATACTTTTAACTTATTATCTAATAAAATCTATAATCTCTTTTAATAATATATTCTATTATTTACTATATAATAATTTTGTATAGTAATTCAAAGTATTTTTCTGAATTCTACTAGCTATTTATATATATGCTAATTCTTGATTGCTATAATAAGTTGATGAGCTATATTTAATCTTCTATAGATATTATCAATTAGTTTATTAATTAATTTATCTTCTATAAATACTATAAGATTTATTAATATTAAATGAATATCAGCTTTTAGTTTATTATAAAGATTAATATTGAATTTATTTACTAGTAAAACTATATACTCTCTATTCTTTAAGTGTTTATTGTCTTTAATTGTAAAGTTTAATTTTTTTTTTTTTTTCTAATTTAAAATATCTGATCGAATAGTTTTAAACCCTGGTTAATAGATTATATAAAAGTTATAATGAAAAAGGAACTCAGATTAACGAACTTATCATTAATTTAAAGTTTTTGTTATAGTAAAGTATTCTAGATTCTTATAATTAATGAGAATCTCAAATTTCTATTACAAACCTTAAAGCTTTAATCACTATTCCTTTATAAACTTAATAATTATAAGAAGCTTTTTATTATAAATTTCATAATTACATTCTATTATAAAGTGCTTTACTGAAAAGTAAGCTACTAATTATAAAAGACCATCGAAATTGTATTAAAAAAGTATTCCCCCTAATGCCCAATCTAAAGTATCTATTTCCAGAATCGTTTACTTATTATAATTAAAATATACAAAAATTAATATTATTATGAATATATTCTTAAATATAGCGAAAGCATTTTTATACAATATATCCAAAAACCAATCAATATCCTTTCATAATAAATTATAGAGAGACCAATAAATCTTTGAAAAATCCTTTATAAATTGTTAATAGAAATTAATAAACCTTAAAAAGTATTATAAATCTTTTATTAAAAGTAGTTATTTTAAAATATAATCATAATAACTTTTTCAGGATTTATCTATATACCTTTAGTTATAATTATTAATTCTAAATAGTGAGTAAAAATAATCTCGAATTTGTACTTATTTATATTAATCTATAATTTAGTATTTACTAACTTTTGTATTATAATTCGAATATACTATTTATATTTCAATTTATTTATTGAGTATATGAAAATATTATTTAGATATACTGTACAATATTTGTTTAGTTTATTAAACAAAGTATAGTTAATATAATATTAAAAGAATGCTAATGTATTGTAAAGGTTAAAGAATATAATAAATAATTTGAAAAGACCGAAACGGGTAATAAAAACTGTCTTTCATTTATTATCTTCTATAATATAGAGTTTATTAAAAGTAATAATAATATTTAGTTTTATATATACTATAGCATTATAAAGAATATTTAGAGTTTCATAAATAATAAAAAGTGAATAATAATTCTTTATTATGATATTATTTAATCCTCAATAATCTTAATATATACATACACTGCCACCTGACTTAGTAATTAAAAGCAAGAGTGTAGCACTATGTAATCTTGATTCCCAAATGAAGTCTTTATTAAGGTTATTATTAATCTACTTATATATAACTTTGAGCTTTAATAGTAATAATAAACGATTTTTAAAGTATAATAATTTCTTTTCAGATATTAGTTTAATCTTATAATCTTATG